GATGATGGCCTGGTTTTCGGATGCTTCCGTTTCCAGTGGTGGAGGTGAAGGGGAGGGGATGTATCCAGGGATTGCAGACATAAAGCCGTTTTGGAGGATTTTACGGATGGTATCCGGGGTTGGTGATTCTGTTTGTTGGGCTTTTTTGATTTTGTGGACTATTGGAGTAAGGTGTTCACTGGCAGCCTCAGGATTTCGGTGACAGATCTCTGTAAGAGCCTGCTTCCATTCCTGTGGCGTCCGAGGTTCATGTCCGTCAACATTGACTGACACGTGTGAGGTGTGCGATGAAGAAGAAGAAGAGGATTGGGAGTCGGAAACAGATTGCCAATCGACCTTTCGCTGGTTGAGGAGGATCTGGCTGTTTTCGGAATTTGGATCTTGTTCGTGGCATATTGTAGGTTTAGGTGTGTATTAGAAGGGAAAGGGAATTGGTATATGTGGATATGATATATTGATATGTGTAAACAATTGTGTTGGTGGACGGATGTTTATTGATTATTGATATGTGTAGAAAAGGAATTAATATATGTAGGAAATTGGATGGGGTGTGTTATATTAATAAGTGTAGGAAATTGTGTTGGATAGGAAGGGGATTGACAACTATAGGAATTTGGTTAGGATATGATATATTGATATATGTAGGAAATTGTTAAGGAATCAGTAAATGTAGGAATTTGGATAGGATATGAAAATGTGATTGTGAACTTAATTGGTATGTGTGTGAAATGGGTGGATGAGTAGGATGTGTATGGGTGTGAGTATGTGTGTGAGACTTTACCTGGGTGATCGAGCACTTTTTCGTTTCGGAAAGAAGAGCTCCAGACAGGCACCAATGCCAACACCTCCTTGCCCCCTTATTTTTCAATATCAGTACACAAGGATTTGTCAGCCGGTTAGCACCACGCCCGTTCGGTTTGATGCTAATTACCAGTTTTGGCGCCTTACATGAAAAATTTTACGCCTCCACGTGACAATTTCGCATCTATTGTTCGTTTTTTGGTGATGTTCTCGTCCAGAAAGCGTCGTTTTTGCGACACGTTTCACGATAGATCTTGTTTTGTTGGTTTTCTGGGTCTTCACTTTGGCGTGTACGTGTACATTCACGTTGAAAGTTTGTACGAGACTGAGAACTTTTAAGTTCAAAGATTCTACTTTCTTTGTTATTTTGGAAATACATCGCAAACACAGCAATTGCTGTAAAGTATCATATTTCTGTGACCATTTAATTAAAATTGTTCCCATTCAAAATCGCAATACAATAAAGTGATTTTTTGGTGTGCACTTGTCTCTCTTACCCTACGGACCACCTTGAAATATGGTCAGAGAGTTTCGGACTATTTTATACGAAGAAATGCACACTTCCTACCGAGACAGCGTACAGTAAGCATATCGAGTTTATCGGGACGTCACTTTTTGTGTACCGAATGAGCGTCGCGACGCGCAGCGACTAATTCTACTGCCTGCTACGATTAATATACCACTATTTATATATACTATTATACTACACTACTACATTTATATAACTATTATACTACACTATTTATATAATTTATATATTACCACATACTATAATACCAATATTTCAGAGGCAAGTCTTCTATTCTTTGTACAGATAACAGTAATGAGTTAAAGCCAGATAATTTTCGTAATTTATTCACGATTAATATTTGCTATTTTCGCTAATGTATTTACAGGCAAAATATTGCATTTTTTCTTCCATTATTATTTTAATTTCATTTAACCAGCGATCTCTAGTTTTACACAAAACATTAAGTCTGTTATTCGGCTGGTTTATGCCGTAATCTGTGTATAACGGAAAAATATATAAAACAAACTAAATATTTTTTCATCGGCTTTACAGAAGGTATATGCCACTCACATAAAAAAATCCATTTAAATACTTGGATCCTATCCTGAAACTTCATATACGGGTCAATCCATGCCAAGAGGTCCAAAGGTGGATGCTTGACTATTTTTAATATTTTTTATTTCTCTACCTTTTATATTTCAGTCTATCTTCTTCTTCTTAAGGTACCTTCTCCATTACTGAAGGTTGGCTATAACTACAGCAAATTGTTCTCTATCTTGAGCTGTTCTTAGTATCGAATGTGTGTCCATACCTGTCCAGTCTCTTACATTTTTCAACCAGCAGCATTTTCTTCTGACTCTCTTCCTTCCATTTTCTCTTCCATTATAAGTCGTAGGAAGTTGTATTTTTATCTTCTGTAAATATGTCCTAGATAACTCGTTTTTCTGTTTTTTACAATATTTAGGAGTTCTCTCTCAGTACCCATTCTTCTTAGCACCTCGTTGTTGGTCACGTGCTCTGTCCAAGAGATCTTCAGCATCCTTCGAAAAACCCACATCTCAAAGGCTTCTATACGCCTCATACTTGTAATTCCGAGAGTCCATGTTTCCACTCCGTATAGCAGTATGGAATAAATAAACGTTTTTACACATTGGTATTGGATACTCAACGATAACGTAGAGTTTATTAGGAATTTTTTCATTCGTTGAAATGCGGACCTAGCATATTCTATACGAGCACGTATTTCGACCTTGTGGTCAAGATCGTTTGTTATCCAGCAACCAAGATACTGGAATCTTTGTACTGGCTCTATATGTTTGTTATAGATACGAATATTAATGTCGACATTTGGTGCACGTGTAACAGCCATTACTTTTGTTTTATTTGTGTTTATATTTAGTCCCAAGCTATCTCCCTCTCTGGTTATGACATTCAAAAGTCGTTGTAAACCCTCAGTACTTCAGTTTATAGACAGTACAAAATTGCATTAATTTTATTATTAAAAAATTTAATTTGCCGATGGCGGCCATTTTTGTTTCATCGTGTCGGTCATTTTTCCTGGAAACATGGCTCACTCTTTAGCCAATAGTTTCACTTAGGTTTGTCCTAAAACAATAAATCAAAAAGCTGATAATGCTTTGTAATTTTTTTCTGAAAAAGACATACATACATACTTTAAATGAAGAAAAGTTTGAGCTTTGAGACTAAAGTCAATTTAAAAACAAATCTCAAAAATGTAATTTTTTGAAAAATTTCAAAGTTTGAGCCCTTATATTTCTGATGGGCAAGCAAGTAAAAATTTGAAATTTGGCTGAATGTTAGTTTCTAATGAGTAGAATAATAGGTAAAAACTTGTAGACTTAAGGCATAATCGAGTTACAGGCCTGAGAAAATGGCAAAAAATCATTAATTTGAGCGTTTGCGGTAGAGTAATTAAAATTCAAATAAACTGTCTAATGAAATAAAAATTACTGTATTTTCACCAAATTTCATAATAAATACACATTTATACTACATTTTTTGCAATTTTCTCAGGCCTGTAATTCCTGTATTCCCTAAATCTACAACTTCAAATTTGACCCCTTATTCTGCTCATTAGGAACTAACATTCAGCCAAATTTCAAATTTTTACTTGCTTGCCCATCAGAGATCTAAGGGCTCAAATTTTGAAAATTTTCAAAAAATTACATTTTTGAAATTTTTTCTGTTTGTCTTTTCCAGAAAAAAATTACAAACCATTATCAGCTTGCCTTATGTTGTTAAAAAAATGCTGAAAACGGAATTTTATCAGTTTACCTTTTCAAACTTTGAGGTCTAGTGGTGGGCCAACCTGCGATTTTTGTGTAGCTGTGACAAAATGTGACTGCTCCAGAATTGTCACGGTGACAAAAAGCAGTGATTTTTTGGAGCAGTTTAATCTTAACTGCTACCCTGCTACTATTGCTACCTTTGAATATTCCAAAATATATTTTATTTTACTTTATTTTTTAAGCAAAAGACATGCTTGTTGTTTTCTTTATTTTTGTTTATTATAAGGTTTGTATTATAAAAGTATTATATATAGTCAGTAGGTTCTTTATCATTATTAGTTTCTGTATTTTTATGTTAAAACAAAACAAAACTTTATTTATAATTATATATGTTATACTTTACTTTATTATAAATCTTTACTATAAAATATTATTATAGACTTTATTATAAAACTTTACTAAGTAGTACTTTATAAAAAAAAAATTATTTTAGGCAATATTTTTTGTACTGCGTTGTTTTTTGTACCACTGTTTTATTTTTATCTTTGGTTATTGTGATTTTGCCCTTAAAAGTTTTAGAAATAAGTAGATATATTGATTTTATTTTATTCAATTCTTATGTTTTTTACTTTATGATAATTTAATATGACTTAGAAAATAACTTGTTACGGATTTTTAACGGTGCTATTTTCCCATGCTCGACCACGTCGTTCCTTATGTTACAAATAGCAAATAATAGTCACAGTCACCATATGAGAGCGACTGCTCCATTTTGAAAATGCTCCGTCAACAAGGCTTGTCACTGTCGCAATTACGATCTATGGACCAGCGCAACGTCTTGTGTAGCGTACACCGGACCGAAGTGGTGCAGTCACAGTAGACTAAAACGTGACTGAGTGTCACTGCTATATTATTCCAGATGTAGCGGACTGTGACTGTGACAGCGTTGTAGCAGTGACAAAGTAGCAGTTCGTGAAATCGCAACCCACCACTATGAGGTCCATTTAAGGTCTTAAGGGTAGTTTGTAATTAAATAATGCTATGGACCACTTTTTTAGAGCATACTTTTACAAACAGTTTGGTTTTTGATCTATTGTTCTAGGAAATCTAAGTGAAAATATTGGCTAAAAAACGAAGTCATGTTTTTCGTGAAAATGATCAACACGATGAAACAATAATGGCCGCCATCGGTAAAATAAATTTTTTAAAAATAAAATGAATGCAATTTTGTATACTCTATAAACTGAAGTTTAATTGGTAGAAAAATAAAAAAATATTAAAAATAGTCACGCAACCAACTTAATTTATATTGGACCGCTTCGTATGGATTGACCCATACTTGCTTATCCTTATAATAGCAATCATGCTAAATTTTCAAAATGGATTACTTTCTTCACTTCGTACTATAAATGTAAAACATACGTATTATTTATTTGTAGATTAACAGCAGATATTCAAGACTTTAAAAGTAGTTTCAAACAAACCGTTTCTGGAGGTTTAAGAGCTGCCACGCAGATAGTTGGTTGTTCAGTATCTTTAATTATGATATCACCTCAAATGACTTTCATTTCCTTACTTTGCATACCATCTGTAATAGCTGTAGGAACAGTTTTCGGCTCTCTATTAAGATCAGTTTCAAGAAGAGCTCAAGCTCAGGTAAATTTGGTGTGCGGTCAAAAAATGTTTATATGTTTATGTTATTTAATTTAAGGTAGAAAAAACAACTGCCGTAGCGGACGAGGCGGTAAGCAATATTAGAACGGTTCGAGCGTTTGCGATGGAGGACCAAGAAAAGGAATTGTTTAACACAGAAGCTGATCGAGCAATGGTTTTAAATGAGGATTTGGGATTAGGCATTGGTTTATTTCAAGCTGGAACCAATATGTTTATAAATGGGTAAGTAATTTAATTTTTCTACTCTCTTACTAGTAAATTGTATATTACCTACTATTTGGATGCTAAGTAAATGCATCATAACAGATACTGACACGTAATGACTAGCACGTAATAAAAAAAATTACGCTTCAGTTTTATAAAAAATGTGTAATATCACATAAGCCTTGTAAGTCAGTTGGTCGAGTCACCATGGAAACGAATTAACAGACGTTATTTTGACAGATTAAAAATTATTAATCTGTCAGTGTAAATATAGTGGTAATTTAATTTTTATTTTTATAAACGAAAATAATGGTAGAAAAAGTATAGTACACAACTTGAGTTGTAAGCTTATTACATGCTTGTAAAATTACTGCGCCCGCCGCTACGCGACTCGCGCGCAACTTTTTTACTCGCATGTAATAAGCTTCTTACAACTCTCGTTATGTAATATACTATTTTAAATCGTGACAGGAATAAAATTACATTTTATTTATTTCATACAAAAAATTATTGAAATACATATAATCAAAGACGAAAAATGCCAAGAAGCAGCATTTTAAACATTGTAAGATATACCACTTTGATTGTACCATTTTGACTTAGGATTGACGATTGACCACGATTGACTTAGGATCTTCAGATCAACTTTAGCTAAAGTATCACCTCTTCACCGCCACAAAGACAATCATGGAGATTCTGCTCTAGCTAGCTCTTCTCAAATGTAGTTCTGCTAAAGCCTAAGACAATCAGTGGCAAGACAATCAGATCACAAGAGGGATCAAAGCATAACAAAAAAGTTTAAATAAACATGTTTTATGGAATAAACTGGTAGACTTGTTGCTACGTTATAGCATGTCCTGTACAAGATGGCTGCAGACCTAAGAAATAAAGGAAAGTTTAAAAAAATGACTGAAGGTCTACCAAAGATTAAATGGTTGAAGGCCTTAATATTAAAGAAAAATGTTCTTATTAGGCACTTAACTTGCCAAATGCTGTTTTTGATGTAGGGCTGCTGAATGAAAAGTTGATAATGTTGTCGGTGTCACTACGGTATCAGGTCTCCTAATTATCCAATAGATGGTGGAGCCTGATGGTGGATTAATTAATGGTAGATTAGTTACCCGTAAAGGACGAGACACAAGATTCGGTAAAACACGTAGATCCAAAGATCTTGTTGCTTGGGTGATGGTTAGCCTAGGTGATGGATAGGGGGACTCCCTAATCGGTTCAAGGATCGGCGGGTAGTTGGGAAATAAAATACCACCCGCGAACCAAAACAGACTAAGGGATGGTAACCCTAAAAGAAGAGTCACGGGAGTTATAGTCGTTGACCCCATAAGCCAATACCCTAAATCCGATGCGTCAGCACCTGAACTATGATCGACCTGAATGTAAAAGTGCAACTTGTGAATTATTGTTTTATTTTCCAATGTGTAATGTATTTTATTTTATGAATTATAATTCAGTCTGATTTGAATCTTTGTACTGTGAAGTCCGATTTTAATATTGTAATAAAGTTCTCGCATTTGTAAAGTAAATAATTATTTTTTAAAAATCGTCCCTGAAGGGAAGAAACTATTAGTCGGGTCTTTCGAGTCTGGAGGTTGGACGTAGGGCTAACGAACCTGTCGTGAAAAAAAAAACATTTTTTACGATAGCTGAAAAAAACAGACCAGAAGAGTCTTATGTAGACGATCTGGCAAACGAAAAAAGGATATTCGATGTGGATCACGGAAGTGAGAACATTGTACTATGCAGGAGCAATGAGATGCGTCTTAGATATTCGTTAACAAATATAATACGGACTTAACAGCTATACAGGAGATACGATGGTAGGGGACCGGTACTATTCAGAAGAATTTGAATACAATGTACTCTAGCTGCCATCAAATGCAATTTATCTTTGGTGTAGGCTTGGTAGTTCGCAATTCGCTTTCGAAGGTTGGCGAACGACACAATAAGAAGAAGGAAAAATATTCCCGGTCAAACACATGGCAAACTGTATATTGACGGACATGTGCTAATAGAACTAGAGTATTGCGGAAATCAAGCAGAAATCAGTTCAGAGTCATAATAGGGTTCCTTACTGGACATGTGCTAGTCAAGGGCATACAGTCGGCTTTGGGATTGTTTTATGGAGATTTGAGCTATAGACTTTGTAGCAGAGAACCTGCAACAGTCAACCATATCTTGCATGGCTCCGAGGTATTAGATCACAAGCGATAAACACTTTTTGGAGACAACTAACTGACAAAAATATACAATACCCATCTAAGGCCTGTATAAGCTGCAGTAGGGTTCCAAAATCTTCGACTGCGTATCACGAGGGAATGGAAGATGTACAATTAGCTCCAGTACGACCGGTTTTTTACCCGAAGGGTTCCATGAAAAAAAAAATGGTTTGCTTTAGCAAACTGTTGCTTCTTTTTGTTTCATCTACAATTTTGTTTTAGTATGGTGTTATCTACTTTGTACATGGGTGGTTATCTACTATCAACCAATCAGTTATCTGCTGGAGAAGTTATGGCATATTTAGTTGCATCTCAAACAATACAACGCTCTTTGGCTCAAATATCATTACTTTTTGGCTCTGTAGTAAGGGGAGTGGCAGCTGGCTCTAGAGTTTTTGAGGTAAGTATCGCAATTGAGTGTTTAAGCAATTTAATATAACAGGACTTAATTCACTCTACTCCTCTGCAACCCATCCAATAACGTCCAATAAGTGTATTTATTTTTGAGTTTTTTATATAATTCCTCTGTGTCTGGATGTAAAGAGGCTTTGTTTTTCAGCTGCAGTTATATGTAAATTTTTATCAATTGGTGTTTTGTAGTAGCCAAATTGGCTACCATAAAGCAGTCGTTATATTGGCAATCGTCTACGCTGTATATATTCGTAAAATTCCTGTTATCCAATAACATCAAGTAATTACTCTTAATTTTAGATGTTTAATGAAGACTTGTTTGTTTCAGTATATTAATAAAACTCCTAAAATGGCACTGACAGGAGGAAAAATATTACCATATGAATTAGTGAAGGGGGATATTGAATTTAAGAACGTTTGCTTCGCTTATCCAACTAGAAGTCAGCAGGTAACGGTATAGAATACACATTAGATACGATTTTATAATTTATATTCTTAGGTAATTCTTCAAGGTTTTAATCTCAGCGTGCCATCAGGAAAAACAGTTGCTATTGTGGGTGCTTCTGGTAATGGAAAATCGACAGTGGTTGCTCTTTTAGAAAGGTATGCTCACACGTGGTTTACTCCTATTTTTTATTTATTGGATTTGTAATAAATCTGGATATTTGTAAAGTATCATGCTAGAACATTGTTTCTTATTGCAGTGTGATACTTATGATTAACGTGTTTTATTATGGCTTAATTTTGCCTAAAGCAAAGCCTAAAGGGCCAAAAAAATGGATCTTTTATTATCAAATCAGATCTTCAGCATTTTATTTTAAAGTAAAAGGTAATGCCATGGAAGTTTCCAATATATAAGCTTGCCTTGGAAAAAATGGTCTCAAATTAGTTTAGGGTTGCCAGCTGTTCAAATCGCCGGTTATCAAAGATAAAGTAGAATAGAGTTTGTGCGCAGAGTCACTGGTTTGACAAGTGATAATGACACAACTGACACTAGCCATGTTAAACCAGTGGCTTTGTGCGCTAGCTCTCTTTTACTTTATCTTTGATGCCTCACGTTTTTAACAGATAACAACCCTAATTTGCGACCATTTTTCTCAGGCAACCGTATATTGTCATATTAAAAAAAGTTTAATTAGATAAAAATATGTATTTACGTCATGAGCAGCGTATTTTTTTTAAATAAATTAACGACATTTTTTTTCAAAAATTAATTACCATTAATTGAATTGAAATAAGGTTAATTTTGACTGGCAACCTGTTATCGATGTATTCTCCTATTTTTGAATGTATGTAAAAATGGAATTTTGATAAACTATGTCATTTTTATAACTATACTATATCACAATTATTTATAAATATATTTTACGTGTTTATTTTAGGTTTTATGATGTAAAAGATGGTTCAATTACATTGGACGGACACGATATAAGAACATTGGATCCTTCGTGGTTAAGAGGTAGAGTATTAGGTTTAATAAGCCAGGAACCAGTATTGTTTGGTACTACAATAATGGAAAATATTCGCTATGGCAAACCTGATGCTTCAGATGATGAGGTATTTAACATTTTATATACTTAGAAACTGTATTAATTATAGCGCTACAAGCATACTCTACTTCTACTCATTGGTTTGACAGCACTAGTAAGATACGAGTATTTTATAGTAGGGTTTAAAGGAGGGACTTGCAATATTAGATAACTTTAATTTGCTAAATATTTCTTTATAACTTTATTGCATTAACTTTTAGTAGCTTTTCATGTAAAATCAAATGATATTAAGACATTAAAAATAATTCTAATGTGAAATAAAAGGAATTAATGAATTAAAAAAACATTTTATCACTACTACTTTTGACGAAAAAGATTTGATTTCACTTTTAGAGCTTCTGTACTAGTCGCTCTGATGAATCCTGGTAGGATGAAACACGTATAAGCGAATATACAGAGGCACTATGCATGAAATCAAATCTTCACTGTATTTTCTTTTAATTTTCATTAAGTTAATCCAATAAATGATGGAAAATGATTTTACTAAAAATTTACGGCAGCAAGGTATTAACCATTTTTGTAGATCATATTAATATATTACTCGTTTTTTAGGTAAAAGAAGCCGCACTGCTGGCGAATGCGGATGAATTTATAACCAGTTTTCCAAAGGGCTACAACACACCTGTTGGTGAAAGAGGAGTGACTTTATCCGGTGGTCAAAAACAGAGAATTGCCATTGCCCGTGCTCTCCTTAAGAATCCAGTAGTTTTACTTTTGGATGAAGCTACAAGGTAAATAAGAATTTTCAATTTAACGTATATTTTGCTATGTATTTTCGACTTAAAATTCAAAGAGCATAAAAGGGTATGTGTGGAATTGGGAGAATTTTTAACCAAAATTATGAACATGGCTTGGAACCGATGTACAGTTCCCGAAGATTGGAGAATTGGCATAATACTACCAATGCTTAAAAAAGGAGACCCAAGTTCTTGTGAAAATTATAGAGGAATTAATCTACTCAGTATTGTCTCCAAAATATATGAAAGCATGCTAAAAAAAGAAATTAAGACACATCGTTAAACCACATCTGGATGAAGTACAAAGTGGGTTTAAGAAGGTGCGCAAGACCATATATTTACGTTGAAACAAATAATTGAGAAAGCTAGAATAAAGAATACAGAAATATATATGGCTTTTCTAGATATTAAGAAAGTATTTGACAGAGTGTCCCAGGAAGCAGTTTGGAAAAGTCTGCAAAATAGAAATATTGACCATCAACTAATAGGTACTATCAAAAGCCTGTATCAAAATAACAAGAGTTATATACGTAAGGATAACTTGGAATCAGAGATGTTTGCAATAAACGAGGGTCTAAAACAAGGAGGTGTTATGAGCCCCACACTGTTCATATTGATTATTGACGACATAATTAAGAAAACACAAGCAAGTATACACAAAGTACATATCGGATATAGTAAACTACGACCGGTTAGTATAGTTGAGTGTGCATTCGCAGATGATCTCATGTTATGCACTTCCAACGAAAGGGACCTCCAAAAAAATATAGATACCTGGCATAATGAGCTGGAAATTAGAAACATGAAGGTTAATGCTAAGAAAACCAAGGTGATAGCTAATAGCGAAAACTAACCGAAATGTTAACATAGAAATTAACCAACAACTCATAGAACAAGTAGATACATTCAAATAGCTAGGCGTTACAATAGACAGAGAAGGTACCATGCAGAATGAAATAACAGAAAGAACAAGTAGTGCTTCAAAAGTGTACCATAATCTTAGTAGAGCATTCATAGGTAAACCGGAAATCAGCAGAAGAACCAAAATGACAGTTTATAAGACAGTATTCCGACCTATCTTGATATATGGAAGCGAGAGCTGGGTTTTAACAAAGCTATTAAAAAGCAAGATACAAGCCATTGAGATGAAATATCTAAGACGAGTCAAAGGAATAACACGACGAGACAAAATAAGAAACGAAGTTGTTAGAGAAGAACTGGGCACAGGATGGATTCCACCAAAGAGCCAGAACTACGGGAGACTAACAGGAGCAATAATCACCTCAGCAAAAGCGACAACCCCTAGAGGATACCGCAAAGAATATATCCCTGTTTGGACAGAACAGAGCGAAAAACTGTATGAAGAATATTGCGAAGATGGAAAGCAGGAGATTGCAGACGAACTACTCCACAGCATTGATGCTGCCAGGCGTGAAAAATGGACACAGACAGTAGAAAACCTAGACTTCCAGAAGTCAAGTCGACAAGCTTGGTTTCTACTGCGGAAACTCGGAAGTAGCAACCCACCCGTTCGCCAAACCAACCTAGTAACTCCAGACCAAATAGCTACGCACATAGTGTCAACCTCTAGGTCACCTCAAAATCGTTTACATACAATTAAAGTTAAAAAAGACCTTAAAACCATAAAATCTAGTCTTGCACAGTCAACAGAATATTCCAACCCATTTACGCATGAAGAAATATCGCAAGCCCTAAATGAAATGAAAACAGGAAAAGCGCCGGGTTTCGACGCCATTCACGCTGAGTTCCTCAAACATAGCGCCAGATTCACTAGGCAATGGCTCGCAGAATTCTTTTCTGACATCCTTCAAACGGGAAACGTCTCCCACCAACTCAAAAATGCAAAAATCGTCGCCATTTTAAAACCAGGGAAAAGTAATAATTCACCGAAAAACTACCGTCCCATCGCACTCTTAAGTATGGTGTACAAATTGTTCGAAAGACTGCTGTATAATAGAATCAGCAAAACCATATTCCAACACTTACCAGTGGAACAGGCAGGATTTCGGCCAAACCGCAGCTGCACAGACCAGGTACTCGCCCTGACCAATTATGTGGAATCAAACTTTCAAAAGCAATCAAAAACAACCGCTGTCTTCATCGATCTATCTGCTGCTTATGACACTGTGTGGCGACAAGGGGCAATATATAAATTAATGCGAATAATCCCATGCAGAAAGACCACTGAGGTTATTAACGCCATGCTATCCAACAGATGCTTTAAAGTTATATTGGGAGACAAAACTAGTACCCAAAGAAAACTGTATAATGGACTTCCACAAGGATCCGTGCTGGCTCCCATGCTTTTCAGCCTCTACATAGCAGACATGCCAGAAACCACATCAAAAAAGTTTGGATACGCAGACGACTGGACGCTTGCCGCAAGTCATAAAGAATTCGAGGTCACTGAACGCATTCCAACAAATGATTTAAATGCCCTAGGGGATTATTTCCGCAAATGGAGATTGCAACCCAATCCAACTAAGACAGAAGTGTCCTGCTTCCATTTGTACAACAAGATGGCCAACTATCAACCTCAAATCAATTTTGGGGATAGACTCCTTAAATATAACAAACACCCAAAATACTTAGGTGTTACACTTGACAGAACGCTGAACTTTAAAGAGCATCTTACTAAGACTGCTGCAAAACTCCGAACTCGTAACAACATCCTGCAAAAGCTCTGCGGCACTACATGGGACTCCTCAGCACCCACACTTAGATCGACAGCATTAGGACTGGTATACCCCGTAGCGGAATACTGTGCACCAGTATGGATAAACAGTCCACATACTCACCGTGTTGATGTCCAACTCAACCAAGCGATGCGAACTATATCGGGCACAATCAAGGCCACACCCACTTACTGGTTACCAGCTTTGAGTCATATAGCTCCACCACCCATCCGCCGGGAACATGCCCTTGTCAGAGAATTTACAAAAATCAATACTGATCCTGAGTTCCGCTCCCATGTCGGAACTTCCGCCAGAGACATAAATAGGCTCCGTTCAAGACACCCGCCTCTAAAAACAGCAAAAAGGCTAGTAGATCAAAACTTTAATGTAACTGAACGGTGGAGGGAACAATGGGAGAATAACGCTGCACCAGCTAACTGGAACATGCCATGTATTACAAGCAAACCTGGGGACTTCAACCAACCGAGACGAATTTGGACCGCACTCAATAGAATAAGGACGAACTGTGGCAGATGTTCCGACTCACTTTTTAGATGGGGAAAAATACAATCACCAAATTGCGACTGCGGCGCCGAAAGGCAAACAGTAAAACACATGGTAGAGGAATGCCCGATTAGATCCTATAACGGCAACCCTTCAGATTTCCTGGCTGCTACAAAAGAGTCAATCGAATATATTTATAATCTAGATATTTGTTTGTAGAATAATATTTTTGTATTTACTGTTGTTTGTAATTTATATAATTTATATGATATGTATATATATATATATATATATATATATTATATATATATATATATATATATATATATATATATATATGAACCTGTGATGTAGCCATACGCTAAGTAAGTGGTCACAGAATCTGTACTACATGCTATTGAAACACAACAGATAAAATGGTTTGGTCGTCTGTGCCGAATGAGTGACAACCGACCCGTTAAGCAAGTATGGAAGGTTAAAGTGAAAAAGTTTAAAACCAGTGGCAGACCACGGAAAACCTGGGATGACGAAGTAGGGCAGATTTTGAAAAGTAGGGGAATGGAAAGGTCAGAAGCTCAAAACAAGGCAAAAAACAAGAAAGAATGGACAAAGTTCGTGCACAGAATAGAATAATAAACAAGCATTTTTAATTTCATTAGATTTGAGATGTAATGTATATCAGTAACGTGTATTTGTATTTAGGGTAGACTCCTTAGGGTCTTAGGGTAGAGAGGTGTTCGATTATATATATATATATATATATATATATATATATATATATATATATATATATTCGATTCTAAATTCAAAGAGCATAAAATGGTACATGTGGAATTATTGTGGAATTGGTAGAAATGTACTGTGTAAATTTTCAGTGTAAGCCATTTAAAACGGAATCTAATTTTCTTCTAGTTACTATTTGAAATATTTGTGTATTTAGTGAAATTAACCGTTTGTGAATATTTGACAGCCAATATATTCTTTTACATTCTGGACCCCACTTATAGTATATTTGGAAATTATTGATAGCACAAATTTTATAGCTAAAGTCTAAATACAGGGTTGGTCAATGCAGAAAAAACGTAATAATTGATACCTATATATATTCAGGGATTCTACAGTATTCACTGCCTTCCCTCGCTCAACCGTTTCCATCTCTCTGTTGTCCCATTCTCCATCGTTTAGGCCTCTCTTACTCATGGCGTCGTCTACTTCGTTCCTCCAGGATCTTCGGGGTCGTCCTCTTTTCTCCCTTCCTGTGGGGCTCCATTCGGTTATTCTCTTTATCCATCTGCTGTCGCAGATTGATACCTTCTTATCTTAATTTCCACTCGACTTTAATATGACCGCCCCGACAAACCTCAAATACAATACATCATAAAATTCAAAGGAGCAAACCCTAAGGGATTAAGCAATAACTGAACGCCTCAGTGACGGAGAACATAAAATTACTTTAATACAATATTACGTACCCACGTTGCAATTTAATAATAAATGTATTTATAATAAATTGTTCTCGGACGCGACTAGTTCACGTTCGAGACGCATCGCCCCGCCCCTTATTTTTCCCGTTGGCCCCTCCCTGACCTGGAAATCCCTAATCGCTACTTCAGAAAGTATAAAATTAGGCGATTTTCAGGTCAATCAAGTCAGTCCTTCACGGGCTCTCCGAGAGCTTAGTGCTCTCGGGGCTCTGCTTTTTCTTTTAGCCTACCCTATACTCTGTGGCTGAGATTTTTTATTCAACTTTAAACTTAGTGTTTTATTTCGACTATTTAGTCGTGTAAGAAATGT